TTGTTCAATTTCTGGGTAATGATTATCTTTTTTTGTTCATCTCACTTTGCTAGGAATTCTTAGTTTGTTCTATCCTTGTCTTAGTATTTGCAAAATCATCATCAAATTCTCTCACATTGAGCTTTTCTACCGGTCCCACTTGAGAGTTTTAGTTTTTAAACGGAGAAAATATTGCAACATTATTGGAAATTGTTGAAAATTTTAGGGGTGTGCCTTTTAAAAATCAACATTGTTATGTGGAAGGGATAGGAAAGCAACAATGTGAGAGAATTGAAGAGTAATTTTGCAGAAACCAAGATTTGAGGGATATATATGTAAAAACTCCTTACAAATAAGAGGGTATTATTATGAGTATGAGTGCTAATTTCCTCTTATATTTGATATTTGAAAGTAAAAAAAAAAGAAAAAAGAAAAAAGCAGACCCTTTTTTCTTTTAGAGAAATAGCTAGGATGTTTTGTTTTCCTTGGTGGAAGAAGTTTGGAGCTTGTTTTGTTTGATTTTCAACTTGTTTGGCAACTGACTTATTTTGGCCTATAAGTCCAAAAAAAAGCTCCCCTAACCCAACTTATTTTTTTGTGGCGTATAAGCCATATAGTTTGACCAAGTAAATATCAAGTTACCGTCTCACTTCCTTCGAAGAAGCAGGCATTGGTGTTAGGATTCAATTTGTTCGTTAAATATGTAGCTCATTCTCTGTTCCTGGTACCATGCTTTGTGTTACTAAAAAATTTGTATGGTTGAGTTTTCTTTTTGGAGGAGGTCGTTAATTCCTCGGTAAATTTGATTGCTATAAACAGGAATACTTCAGTTCTTCAAAAAAAAAAGCTTATTTTCTGATTCTTCTTTTCTTTATCATATAGAGGCCCGCTAAGAAAATTGTATAGGAAGCTGAAGCTCACACCAATTTTAAAGCTGGCGACTAAATTGTTTGCCCTGTTCCAGTTCCTGTTTTCTCTGATCCTTTAATTTGTTTGCTGCACTGATCGATTTTTATATCGTTTCGCTGGTTTAAAATTGGCAACGGGACGCGTGCATGGATCCTCCTTCCTACATGATATTCTATAGAACGCGCTCTATTATGATTTTTTTTCCTCGCTACGATACTTTGAAATTTTTATCGTCATGCATTGATGTAGACTTGAATCTTGATCCTCTTCTGTCTTCTTCTCTCTGTTGCAGTTGTTCAACATGAAGCACGCTGAGAAAAGCTAGCCCAGGTCTAGTGGCTGCTGCATGAGAGAATCTGAAGTTATTAAACATTAGTAGCCGACTGCATATGTATTTTTCTGAAGTTGTGAGAAACATTAATAGCTGACTGCATATATAGTTTCCTGGAATTGAAATGTCAATTGGATCTTTGTTCTTCATCTGTTCAATTGTAATTGGTGTTTTTTTTACTTCAGCGGTGTTTGATGGTCAACGGGGGGTGTTTTTTTTTTTGGACAAATTTTCAAAACCATCCCATTTTAAAATTTATTTATAAAAAACGATCCCTTTTAGACTTAATTGCAAAAACCGACCCAGTTGGTTGAAACTGGGTCGGTTTTTGAAATTTTTTTTTTCAAACTTCACGGGAGTTGAACTCCCGTGAAGTTTTGTTATGAGAAAAAACTTCACGGGAGTTCAACTCCCGTGAAGTTTGGAATTTTTTTTTTCAAAAACCGACCCAGTTTCAACCAACTGGGTCGGTTTTTGCAATTAAGTCTAAAAGAGGTTGTTTTTTATAAATAAATTTCAAAATAGGATGGTTTTGAAAATTTGTCCTTTTTTTTTTTACAATTCCTTTATGACTCTACTTGGGGTCCATATCGTTATTTATGGTGTATTTGTGTGCATATCATAATTTTACTATGAAATACTTTCTAACTGGGGTAATTAATGTGAAATCTTCCTTAAGTTTGGTTGCTTATCATGAAACCCCCTCATGTAATCTTTTCATTACAAAGCACCTTGCATTTAAAAAAACAGTTAAAACCCATTGATATATCAAAACTACCATTTTCTCCTTCCTCTTTAACGTGTTTCTCCCCTCTCTCTCAAATGAACTTGAGAGAGGGTTTGATAATAGTTATCCTTCTAACTAATATCAAATGATAAAAAAGAGAGAGGAAGTGAAATAAACTCCACGATCTGACACCCCGCTTGTAATTAGGCTACTAAGTAGTCGGGGTTAGCAACCCCAACTAATTAACACCGTAATTAACTCAGAGTGGGTCGATTCTCATAAATAACTTTAAGTGGGTCGGTTTTAGGGATTAAATCTGGGATTTGGTCTACAGTAAAAATTTCTTCTATCCTGACATGGGTTGCTTGAACTTTACACCATCTTCTATAAAATAATATCAAATACTATATTTTGCCAAAAAAAACCCAGAGTTCGTAGTGAATTTTTGACCGCATTGAATACATCACAACAAAGCTTTACACCAATAATTGGTTACTCTTTACAACCGGTATACACAAATTGGCAGAGATACGTGAATTCTCTCTCTGATCCCACAAGAATACTAAGCAACAATAACACACAAGATACATTACCCTTTGATAAATATGCGTGCACTCAATATAAATGCATGTTAAAAAAAACACTCAGGAACGATTTACATAATCTTAGTGCTATTCAGCCTCACCCACCATTTCTTCTTCGCCTTATCCCTGCCAGCTTCATCACTTGCAAGCTTGTGTATGATTACCTTCGTCTCTCGCAGACGAAGATTGAAATCCTTTTTCCATAGCTCGAACGACTGTTTCAGTCTCCGAAGCTCCTTCTCTGGATCCAACCTCGCATCAATTTGTCCCGATTTCACTTCAACCAAGAATCTACTATCATCCAAAAACACTTGTCTTCGCTGGTCAAACTCCTCTGTCAACCGACTGACGATACTAAGACTAGGACTCATACTTCCGTCGTTGATTCTTGATCCAGACCGTTCTCCTCGTAAATCTAAATGCCATCTTGATTCGATATTTTCCCTTGTGCTACTGTCCCAGCTTTGTTCAACCGATGCATCGGATTTTCTCTGAGCTTCGTCGGTGGTGATGCTTCTCTTGGCGATGGAGAGGCTTGATTGTAGAGAACTCATTTGTTTTTGCCACACTTCTTCCATTGATTTCATCTTTTGTTCGTATTCAGACCATCGGGTTTCGTATTGTTGGAGCTTTTGGTGGAGTATGTTGTTTTCTTCTTCTTTTGCTTTTAGTGATGCTTCAGCTTTGAGGATTCTTCTTTGGAGTTCGGATAGGACTGATGCCTTGATTACTACTTCCTCAGATTCGGCTCCCTGACAAAAAAATAAAATAAAGGGAGCGACTTCAGAAAATTAAACGATACGCAATCGAGATCGAGATAGGCCAGCAATTGATAGATAATCACTTATTTATGCTAATAAATAAAAAACCGACCCAGTTGGTTGAAACTGGGTCGGTTTTTGAAATTTTTTTTTTCAAACTTCACGGGAGTTGAACTCCCGTGAAGTTTTGTTATGAGAAAAAACTTCACGGGAGTTCAACTCCCGTGAAGTTTGGAATTTTTTTTTTCAAAAACCGACCCAGTTTCAACCAACTGGGTCGGTTTTTGCAATTAAGTCTAAAAGAGGTTGTTTTTTATAAATAAATTTCAAAATAGGATGGTTTTGAAAATTTGTCCTTTTTTTTTTTACAATTCCTTTATGACTCTACTTGGGGTCCATATCGTTATTTATGGTGTATTTGTGTGCATATCATAATTTTACTATGAAATACTTTCTAACTGGGGTAATTAATGTGAAATCTTCCTTAAGTTTGGTTGCTTATCATGAAACCCCCTCATGTAATCTTTTCATTACAAAGCACCTTGCATTTAAAAAAACAGTTAAAACCCATTGATATATCAAAACTACCATTTTCTCCTTCCTCTTTAACGTGTTTCTCCCCTCTCTCTCAAATGAACTTGAGAGAGGGTTTGATAATAGTTATCCTTCTAACTAATATCAAATGATAAAAAAGAGAGAGGAAGTGAAATAAACTCCACGATCTGACACCCCGCTTGTAATTAGGCTACTAAGTAGTCGGGGTTAGCAACCCCAACTAATTAACACCGTAATTAACTCAGAGTGGGTCGATTCTCATAAATAACTTTAAGTGGGTCGGTTTTAGGGATTAAATCTGGGATTTGGTCTACAGTAAAAATTTCTTCTATCCTGACATGGGTTGCTTGAACTTTACACCATCTTCTATAAAATAATATCAAATACTATATTTTGCCAAAAAAAACCCAGAGTTCGTAGTGAATTTTTGACCGCATTGAATACATCACAACAAAGCTTTACACCAATAATTGGTTACTCTTTACAACCGGTATACACAAATTGGCAGAGATACGTGAATTCTCTCTCTGATCCCACAAGAATACTAAGCAACAATAACACACAAGATACATTACCCTTTGATAAATATGCGTGCACTCAATATAAATGCATGTTAAAAAAAACACTCAGGAACGATTTACATAATCTTAGTGCTATTCAGCCTCACCCACCATTTCTTCTTCGCCTTATCCCTGCCAGCTTCATCACTTGCAAGCTTGTGTATGATTACCTTCGTCTCTCGCAGACGAAGATTGAAATCCTTTTTCCATAGCTCGAACGACTGTTTCAGTCTCCGAAGCTCCTTCTCTGGATCCAACCTCGCATCAATTTGTCCCGATTTCACTTCAACCAAGAATCTACTATCATCCAAAAACACTTGTCTTCGCTGGTCAAACTCCTCTGTCAACCGACTGACGATACTAAGACTAGGACTCATACTTCCGTCGTTGATTCTTGATCCAGACCGTTCTCCTCGTAAATCTAAATGCCATCTTGATTCGATATTTTCCCTTGTGCTACTGTCCCAGCTTTGTTCAACCGATGCATCGGATTTTCTCTGAGCTTCGTCGGTGGTGATGCTTCTCTTGGCGATGGAGAGGCTTGATTGTAGAGAACTCATTTGTTTTTGCCACACTTCTTCCATTGATTTCATCTTTTGTTCGTATTCAGACCATCGGGTTTCGTATTGTTGGAGCTTTTGGTGGAGTATGTTGTTTTCTTCTTCTTTTGCTTTTAGTGATGCTTCAGCTTTGAGGATTCTTCTTTGGAGTTCGGATAGGACTGATGCCTTGATTACTACTTCCTCAGATTCGGCTCCCTGACAAAAAAATAAAATAAAGGGAGCGACTTCAGAAAATTAAACGATACGCAATCGAGATCGAGATAGGCCAGCAATTGATAGATAATCACTTATTTATGCTAATAAATAGTATATTATATCTAACCATATAAATTATGTAAGCTCCATGATACACATATATGTACCTACGCCTATACGCTAATTCCAAAGAGTAACCTGTGCCATGATTCACTGTATCTGCCAAATTTACCTTTATTGGCGCCAGACGAAATTAAATTGATTACTATGTAGTATAGTGAAGCAAGCTATGGTATGTTAGGAGATATTCAAGATATGTTGGATGCTATTATTAAGAAGATAATAGAACTACAAACAATGAACATAACTGCCTTTTCTTGAAACGGTTATTTGCATATATAGTCCTTAAATTATGGGTATTAGCAAAAATAGCCTCCTAAGTTAAGTATTTGCAAAACTACCCCTCAAATCATCAACTTTGTAAAAAAATACCCCTAAAATCAACAAATCATCAACTTGGTGCTAAAATTTGACTATTTTGTTGATAATGTTTACATTGTGATTACAAATTAACTTATTTAAGTTGATGATTAATTGCTCTGAGGGAATTTTTTTCCAAAATTGATGATTTGAGGGGTAGTTTTGTAAATACCGAGATTTGGAGGGTATTTTTGCAAATACCCGTGATTTAAGGCGTATATGTGGAAATAACCCTTCGTGAAATAAATATTCAAACTCAAAATTAGAGAAATCCGTTTAAAATAACAATTGACAAAAGCACTTTAAGTACTACATTTAACCTATAAACCAACTAATATGTGAAAATAATAATAACGGTTACCTTCTTGTCCATAAGTGTCCTGTATGAATCCAGTAAAGCAACATCTCCAGAACACCTTCTGACAAGCCATCCACGTATAACTGAATGCAGAAATGAAAGGTGACGAAAGAAAGATTAAACTTCAAATACACCATCTCCATAGAGGCGCCTTAGGTTAAAAATAAGCTAAACAATATAAAGGAGAGGAGTCCTCACCAGATTGTATAACTAATGAAGCACCGCAGATGTTTTCAAATTCTTTCCTGTTAATTCTTCCTCTTATGTTTCTTTGCAATGCTATTGCAGCTCTATGTCTTTGCACCATGCTGGAATACAATCGACGTGCCTTGTCACCCCGGATAACTGCAGATCATATATGAGGAAAATGATTACACTTTAACGGTATCCATTGGCAACAGTTCAAAGTAAACAAAGAAAATATCACCTACTTTGCTCTCATGCGGATAATTGTTTTGCATATATCAGACAGTATAAAGAAAGATATACAGAGGTCGAGAAACATACATGATTGTAATGCAACAATTCCTTTCACCCGCTCCTTCACATAGCGCCGAGCCTGATGGCCTCTGAAGCAGCTCTGAACCCTTAAGATCCCGTGGAGAGTACGATTTCTTGTATCTTCAAGAGCGCTTATCTGTAGATTGACCCAGCTTAATATGTTTGCTAAAGAGACAGTTTGATAAGATTCCGGAAAGAAGTAAAACACTGGTCTTATGCTATGCAAAAAAGTAGACACTTGTCACCATATAAGCTTCCTTTTCAAGAGCAACTCAACTTTAGGGGGGAGGATCATATATTTAAAAGTAAGAAACTCACAGGAAATATAAAGCCCAGCATAGCTGACTGCCATGAAAAACTATATATTTAAAAGTAAGAACTCACAGGAAATTTAAAGCCAAGCATAGCTGACTGCCATGAAAAACTGTTTTATAGTATCATCTTCAGATATTACTAAAAATAGGATACATAATCGTTTAAAGGAATTATTCTGTGTTGCCTCGTGATGCACATTTCATGATATAGTGAGAGAACAATCTGATGTAATGACCTCACCTGTCCTGTTCTGAAGAACAATTTTGTGTAGCCAACTTGATACATATCCGGCAGAATATTGAACTGCTGAAGAATTGCCACTGATACACTAAGAGGGTCTTGAGATGCAACATGCTCAAGAAGCAGAAAACCATATCTGGGAAAATCACAAATCAGAACAAATCTTCTATCTTAAACTAAACTACTATGTGAATACTGTTTATTGCTTACCTTCTAGCAAATTTTTGGTGAGACATTCTTGTAGGATACCCCGACCTAGATATCCGAACCACTTCCAGAACTCCACAGCATCTTAGCTGCTGAAGTACAAGGCCCTGTTCATATGTCGCAGGAAGTTGCAAGTTGTTTGGTTTGATACAACGTATAAAGTGAGGAGTTGTATTCTCAAGTCTTTGCATCAGTTGGAACAGTTGTCCCTATCATCAAGTCAAAATTAAAATGTCAATGAGAACAGGATCGTGTATCCAGTATATTTGGGGATGAAGAAAAATCAGTTCCTATATACCTTACCAAAAAGCAAGCATGGTATGGTAGCATAGTAGGAACTTACTCAAAAGATTATTTGGTGAGAAGAAGGCTTATAATAGGTTATGCAGACAAATTATCTTAAAAATGCAGCAAAAAAATCCCTGTCATAGGAAAATTGCAATCTATGACACGCGTATATGAAAGCTCTAGAATTGCATGGGAGTGTGATACCATCAAGTTTGTGATTACAAGTTTCTTGGAAGTGTTTAGGTAAAGTGTCCTCAATTGTCTGAGTTTAAAACCAAAAAAATACTACAATATGTCAGTTAGCACTAAAAACAAGTCCCTGAGCATCCTTTTGAAGTTAAATGCATTAATCAGTGCTGCAAGAACCTCCTGGAGATGGTTACCAAGACAGTAATGAAATTAGTACCTTAAACTTTGTTGCCACACTAAGCCTTCAGCCTTGAACAGGTTACCAGCTGCCTTCTCAGATTGTTCAAGCAAATTGGATGCAAATATTTTTGGAAGACGACATTTGCAAGAAGCAAGGAGTTGAATAGAGTCCATGTGTAATGGATCCCTATTCTTCTCCAAGAACCCTGAGGTGTCATATGCAACCTGATAATATGAGAAAAAAATGTCTATAATTCTGGGTATGCAGAACATGTATGAGAAAGAAAAAAATTGCAAAGGAGTGTTACGAAGGATACAAATAGCAACCTCTCCCGCATAGTGTTTAACACTAAAAGCTTTCTCTCTGTCACCTCTGAAGCAGGAATTAGAATTGAGATGTTGCTTAAGTTTGTTTGCAAATGTAAGATCGGTACCATTTGGAAACATGGACTCCTCATCCAAAAGAGACAGCAATCCTAGTGGCTTCTGCATAAACATCAAACAAGAAAGAAAAAAGATCATGTAAAGAAAAAGTTCATGTTACTTAGGAGAAGTAATAGAATCCACTTATAAATATCAAGAAATATGAATAAAAAAAGATAACTGTATAGCGTTGACATAGATTTACAAATGGTGAATGGTCGGGGTAAAGGTGGGAGGGGCAGGTGATGTGCTGATAGTATGACTAATTCCGCATATCTTTCAAAACAATTCTATAAGGTGTGTATAAATACTGGCATACACAGTGAGTGTTAGAAAACATACTTTCTCAAAAAGGTTTAAGCAATCCTTGTTATCTTCAAAATCCACTTTTGCCCAGTCTATGCCATCTTGAATGTATTCCTGCAGCATAAAATCATAATAGTGAGAAAATATTGCAGATAAACAAAATATTAGGACATGTGCATCAAGTAAATAACTATATATCCGAGCTTGATTAACTATTAATTCGAAAACTACCGAATGATAACTCTCAGAGCAAAACCAAATTTTATTTAGCTTATTGGGGAAAAAAGTGAGGAGGAAAAACAGAATAAAACCCAACATTCCAACAGATTACTAGATTAGTATAATAAGCAACACTTTATGACTTCCTAATTCATAATCACATCAGCAGTAAGCCATTATGGAGCATAATACAGAAACTGCAAAGGTAATTATAAGTTTTTAAATGAAAATTGTTATGATGAAAACTTCTAAAGATCTCTTGATCTATAGCTATATTAACAACTTAATGAAGAGTACCAGAAACTTACCTCCTGTTCGAGCTTAAATAAATGGCGGTTAAAATGTTGCTGCAGCCTCTCGTTCGCATAATTTATGCAGAATTGTTCAAAGCTATTTTTCTGTAGATCATAATATTTCCATCAATACAAAAGCTAACTTATGTATAAGAAGAAGGCAAAGTCCAAAGAACTTACATCGAAAGATTCAAAACCATATATATCAAGAATGCTGATCGATCTGCCAGTTCGTTTCTTGCCTACTTCCAATGATTTATTTATTTGTTCCACAAGCCATTCAAACAAACTTGCATACAAAGATTTTGCTAGTGCATCTCTCGCGTCAATAGCCTTGGGAAAAAAAAGAAGATGAAAATTGGATAATTAATCCTCTATGGCTTTAAAATATAGCATAACTTGGTGGAATTATTTGATAAATTAGGCAACCTGTGATAAAGTAAGCTTTTGGACAATGTCCTCATTACGAACTCTCATCTTACGAGTAGATAAAGCTAATTTTAAATCCGCAATATCACACCCAATAAGTCTTGCAACAGTATGTGCACCTGTAATAATGCATGAGCGAATAAATTTACAAGAGTCGTTATGATGAACAGTTCTTGAATTGCACAAAAAATGATTGACAAAAAACTTTAGGAACTGTTAAGAGGTTTGTTCTGTTTGAAAGATGTATAAAAGAACAAATATTCAATATGTATAAACAGATAAAGCCTCCATCCGGATTAATGTAAATCTAATAGTTCTAAATCAACCAGTTATAGAAGTAGAAGATTATCACAAACACAAACATCGGTAGAGGCTTTAATACTTGAAGAACAATTGCATGGTTATCATCACTATCACAGTGCATATTTTATGCAAAGAAATTGGTTAATTCATGGTGCTAACTTTGATTTACATGTTTCCTATTCAAAGAAATCCATTAACTCATAAGCTAACTTCTATTGGTTGATCGATCATGCATCAAGTGCTTGTAAAACAAACAATTCAAGATAAAAATAAGGATTTCGTGATCCATGAGTCGAGTTATCCTCATGAACAATCCTTTTCATCCATCATAATCGTGGCTTAAGGTATCTACAGTTGAAAATTCATGTGCATTGAGTAGCTCACAGATCATGAAGTTGAAAATTCATAATTTACTCTGATTTATTACATCAAAACAACTTTGTTAGAAATAATCTTATACTTCAGAAATCATTGATAATTAGTTCACCCATCAACATCCAGTTCTTGCCAGTTTCCCCCACCTGAGAACCAACATATGAGGACTAAGAAGCTGAATCTGTTAGTTCCCATATACCAATGCAATAGCCATGACTAGATAATCCATACATTAAAAACTGTTCTTACTCATGTCCCAGTATCAACATGATAATGATGAGGCCAATCACCATATACTCCAAACACCAAAGTTTCAACATTTGACTCTAATGTTGGGTACCTTTTACTGTAACTGCTTTGTACGAGTTTAACTTCTGTCATGTCTATAGCTAGGCTCTCTCTAGATTTAGCTCTTGCATTCACCCTTTTCTAAGAAATATTGAACTACTTTCCAGTTCAAATGTGGCTAATATCCAACCATAAGATCACAAGAGATGACTCATGGAAAAGTTTGTGTATGACATTCTTATATCCAATTTTCATATTTTTGTAGCATGTTAAATATTATTTCCCAAAAGGTTAAGCCTAACATATGAAGCCATCAATTATCATTCAGTTAATATGTTGGAAAATTTTAGAACACTTTTAGTTTTTGTTTCCTAAATGATTATAAAAAACATACCTTCATCAGCCACAACTTCAGCATGGTTTTCATTATCGATCACAGTAAAGGAAATGTTTCCCAACCATAGAACAGCAGCAAGCATTGCGAATACATTATCTTGGTCCTCTCTGCTGATATGTACAACATTCATGGCTTCCTGAAAATCTCTAGTTAATGAGCGCAAAGAACCGAAGTTTCAAAAACCAGTATATGAAATACAGGAAATGATATAATTTTTATGAACATCTTTGATTACCACAACAGACCGAAACCTTTCAGCATCATCAACCCCAGCAATAGAGAAACAATTGCTCTGCTTCAAATATTTGTATTCATGCACATTTCTCAAATTAAGTTTCTCTGTTCCAGAACGGCACCAGTTTAGTAGGCAAGTATAAAATGGTCACAAGCATGCAATAACAAGGTAAACATGCCCTTCATATAGAGAAAAGGTAAACAATATACGCACAGATAAACTATGTAAGTATGCCTTTATACAGGTAGATATCCCAGATAAATGATAGGCATCCAATAGTTGAGACTTGAGAACATATTAACTTGAACCAGAGATGAATACTACATCTAGGGTATCCAACAAAGAGAACTGGACAGAATGCTACAACTGCCCCTAAATGGGAATGGGGAAAAACCAATAAAACTTTGGTAAAAACAATAATTAACAGCGCAAATAATTTCACAACTATCTGTAACTGGAAAAAGGAAAAACTAAATGCATTCATTGAGTTTGTAATGAACAAAAAAAAATACGCTAGGACATGATAGCAAGCGTCTAATATTATACCGACTACAAAAAAATAGACCATGTAGGTGACACAAATTGCATGATAAAGACAATTCAGATACAGAAGCATATGACGTATGCAAAAAAGCTACAGAGTAGGTTTTTAATACCATAAATTCTTAAGAGTAAAAGATCTACAGTATGCAAGTGAATTTTCAGGTATGAATAAGAGATCCTCATACAGATGAAGCAAATTATCTCATCAAGCAGAGTTGAAATTTTGAATAACATCAGCAAAATTTTCAATTTTTATTAAAACATCACAGGTCAGGAAATTTTACTCTAACAACCAAATGAAAAATCAAATAACGAAATGAGAAAATGTATACCTCTAAGAGTTGATGGAGCACCAGCACAAAGCTGATAAAATATATGATACGACCGTTCGCCAACCGCACATTGGACAACTCTCGACTGTTCAAGATATAAGCAATCGTATAAAATGACACAGAATGCCAACATCATGACAAACTAAAGTAAGCACAAAGGCAATATAATTACCTTTTCTAGTAAAACTGTCCGGATAGAGTCGAATTACAGTCACCAAAAACAAAACATAGGTGACACCATTGAGGTCAGTTTTCAAAGCAAGAGAAATTATACAGAACTAAAATTTACTAAAGATTGTTGCTCTTACAGGTCTGAATCTTGGCACCAGAAATTTTTCCAGTAACGCTAAAATGAATTTCAATCAGCTTGCCCTGCAGATAAATGACATATTAAAAATTTGAGAGAAGCACTGCAGAGAAAGAAAAGAATTTAACGTGGCATACTTTATGTGTTGTCCATTTAATTCAATTCCCAGATCTATGCTTGAAGTTTAAGCTTTATATTAAACTTGCGACACAAAAGTTCGTAGTGAGAACAAGAAAGCTTACAAAGCGGCTGGAGTTGTGATTTCTTGATGTTTTAGCATTGCCGAACGCCTCAAGTATGGGATTAGTCTGTAAGATTTCATATTCTATTCCACTGCCTCCTCCAAGAGCAGCCAAGTATTGCATTGCTATTTTTGCTGTTTCAGTTTTCCCTGCTCCACTTTCACCACTGGTAAGCAGATTGCAATTAGCAAAAGGACATAATGAACTTTTTTCATGATCAATTGTTAGATTCAACAAGGAATCACCGGATTTTAATCCCCTGCTGTAATTAATTGAAGGCTATTCATGGACTCGCCTAGATGTAGAGAAGATAATGAATGCAGCATCAGGAGGAAATGACATTAATCCTCATAATCTAAGCGTACTTTCCAAGCTAATGAGCATTGAAAAAAAAAATTAATTACCAGTTTTCAACTTGATATCAACCCTCTAAATTGTCAAGTTGACATCAACCTTCAAAGCCCCAAATTAGTGCAAACTCCCTGACTAAAGCAACTGTGGATAACAGACCAAGAGCCAACTAAAACAACCTACCTTATTGTATGTGTTTTAAGTTCATGCAACAAAATAGAAACCCACTGGAATTCTACTAGACTAATAAAAAGTCAGCAAAAGAAGAACATGATACATCTTGATACAGATATAGCATTAAACTACAAGGCACAAGGAAAAGGCCAAAAACCAAAGCATGTTCCTGCTTCTGAAAGGAGAAAAATAAACAAGAAGAATAGCGTGTGGGTGAACTAAACAAGTACCTTTACTGATACAGTAATGCCCTATCCTCTATTGCTTTTACAGCCCAAATACTGCAACCATAATTAACCTTCTATGAGCAACTTAACAAGTTCGCTCCGTGGATTGAAAATGAAAGGGACAAGTTACACCAAAGGAAACTTAAAAATAGTCAGCGACTTGTGATTTGACATATCACAGCTATGGGTTTCCTAGAAGATAAATATCTTCTACAACTATGTTGCTAATCCAGTTAGGGGTGAATGAAATATAAGAGTAATTGCATATAAGTAGGCTTCATCTCATCTACGGAAATTGTGGCAGGTGTGGAAAAAAAACTATCTGTTTAGACAGTTCAAAAAAAAAAAAAAACAGTTCTATCTATGAAAATCAAAATCAGTCTTGACAAATTGTAGGCGATGGTTGAGAAAGACTGTAACATGAACTCATCAGAATCTCAGCAACCTCTTCAAATCTTGATCAGTTATGCTATAATGTTGGTAGCATTGATCTTCCCATTACTTATTATACAAAATTCACTAATTTACATTGCTTAGTATATGTGTGAAAAGCGTATGTGACAAAAGTGGATCATACAAAATAAGATTGATTGATAGTCGTGGCCAACGAAAAATGCATGGATAAAAAAATAAGAAGTTAAAAAGCAGAACCAAAAACCCAGATTCATCAAATTCCAAAAAAAAAAAAATTTGGGCCATTGTATGAAACCCAATAGTTTTTACTTTCACATTTTACAAATGTTGGATTTTTTTTCCTCTAAAACATTTGTTGTCCCTCCACTCTTTAGATTTTGGTTAAAGTATTTGTCTGACATGGTGCAGAACACAACCAAATTACCAAAAGTAGAAGATCCTCATTCCTCAGTTCAAATTCCGATGTAACCTAGTAAAACAACATATTTCTTTTACTCATATATGATGTTTCTTCCGCATGTAAGGTATTATATTCCACGTGACAAAGTGTCAATATTGCAGCATAAAAAAGTGATGGTTCATCTTTCATTAGCTAATGGTTTTTGACCAAAGTGGTTATCTAACACTAAGAAATTATTTACTTTCCTTTTGACTCGTCTGAATACCTTGTGATGGTACAAGCACAATAATCTTTACTCATTAAACAAAATGTCACAAGTCAATTTCAAAATTTATTTTACTGGCAACTTAAAAAATGCAATAAACACGAAAAAAGAAGAATAAATAGAATATGACTTTCAGCTGTATCTAACTGACAAGAAAGAAAATAAAATTTTTATTTAAAAAAATAACAACAAAAAGGAACTCAATATATATGACTTCTTCAATTAGAGAAGTTAGTAAAGAACAACAAACCTTATGACTATCGATTGATTGACTTCATCTGCAAAGAAAAAAGAATCAGATATTAGTCATAAGATAGACAGAGAAGCAGGATAAAATAGACCCTATCTCAGAAAGAGATTGCCTAAAGTCCAAGCTGAATAACCTCTTATCATTTCACGGATAGCAGTATCTGCTATAGCATAAACATGTGGACTGCTCATAGATTTACGTCTATATGCATCAATGTACTCGATTCCGTATAACTTAACATCCTTGAATGGGTTGATAGCAACCAACACTGGTCCAGCTTTAGTCTAAGTTGCAAATACCGAATGAACAAAAAAATTAATTAATTAAAGATTAAGAGACATTGTAGCTGAAAGCATTTGACATATGTGCGATGCCCGAGTTGAACGAAAGTACTCACATAAATCATGTCCTGATTATATCTATATTGCAAATTGTACAATACTGATGGCTCATGTAAATAACTCAGCTGCATCAAATCGTCTACACCATCAAGGATATCAGGGTTTGCAGGTAAAAGACGCTCTGTTTTCAACGTCAATACCTGAAAAGGGTACAGCATCAACTACGTACAACTGCCAAAGAAGACAATTCCTTTGTAAGATTTGCAAAAGTAACACATACTTTGCCCTCCGGAAGAGATATGATGGACTCTTGCCCTGAAGTAGATATTATCTTCCCTAATGCCCAGTCCCCATTTGAAAGCTGGCACCAAGCTTGAAGCTTCTGAAACAATAAATTTTCAAATGTTAGTCTGGCAAATAACAGGGTTGAAGATATCAATCATAAAAGCTTGAAGATATTGATCATAAAAGCACTGGCTAATGTTATCATAGGACTATGTACACAAGTTTTCTGATGCATCAAAGCTCAGCCACCAATATATTCCCGATTTCTTGTTCCACTTTCTAAACAACAGGAACAGGGTTGTGTAAATAGTAACAAGAATCAAGCGGTAATAGAATATGGTTTATTCATTCTGCCCGATATATAAAACAAGAGTAGTGTGTCCAGAGTTCGCAACATACAGAGCTAATATTGGACATTAAAGAGTATACATACATCTAATATATAGGATACTTCAACGGTTTCAAGGTAAAACTATAAATGAAGGCCTTGGTAGTTGGTAGGCATATGGGCAGGACATACACAACCCCAAGTGTGGGCTTCCTAGGTAAATCACTACTTCTTGTTCTTGCTAACCATTGGATTCCAATGAAAAAAATACCTTATTCATTTTGTGTTAGTCAAGTCTAAATTTTTACATGCTATTTATTAACTAATCTATGTCCACATATATTAGCAAGTATTTTAAGGTTTATACTTGCATGATAATAGTAAAACACTATTCTTTTTTCTCGTAATTACACTCAACTCGAAAGAACCAACACAAGTCAGTTACAAAAGGTAATTGATAATATTTATAATTTAAAATTGATCTGTATAGGAACCAGAACTTTTCATTGAAAGATCAGAGTCATAGCTCAATCTATGCTGTCTTAATTAACTGTCAGATCATATAATAGTATATGCTAGTTAATTATGTCCATGTCCATTGACATATATTTTAAAGGTTCATAATTAAGAGTTTACATCTTTACCCTCCTTTTCCTTCTGGTACGCACATCACACATGCCAATGGTCATAGTTTCCCACTGGCACCACCATAAGGGAAGAAATCTGGGGAGTGCATCTATATGATAAGCCATCTAAATTCTTCAGTGAGAAAGGAAATTAGAGTTGTAATCTTGATATTATATTTTGGATTTATTATTTCCATGATAGAAAAAATTAGCAGCATTAATAAGTACTTGACTCGATGAACTTCATGGACAGTTGTAAAATTGATGTATGATGTGCGATTCTTTTTAATTTTCTTGTATATTGATCTATTTTATGCATATATACTCGCACTGTCACACATATACACACTTCTAAATTTTCTCACATTTTTAAGTTTAACCATGCATAATGCAATCTCTCTGATCAACTGTTCTTACCCATACTTCAAAGCTAACAAGTTACCAACTAGCATAAAATAGTGGATTAAAAAAAAAGCTTGACCAAGAATATAAATTCCGAGTAAACCAGATGCAAGAGTTTCCAAGGAGGTGCTATACCAAATGATACCAACACTAAGGTAAGGCTATCACATTCTGATGCAATTTGTACACACATTTAAGTCCTTTTCCAACCTCACTTTAAAGGTACTCCTTTAAGCATTGAAAACAACTTACAACTAACATAAATTGACTAAAAAAATGCACTCTTCAATACAAAATAAACTAAATGCATGCAAGCAAAATCTGGGTCTTCTCAGGTAGTTTATTATTGAGGATCCTTGCGACAGAGGCAATGAGAAAACTAAACTAACATACTAGATCTAAACTGCCAATTTTCATACAAAAATAGAACTACTCTGTTAATTTTCATAAAAAGATCCTTCTACTTTTAGTAAAGTAATGTACCAACTCTTCGAATCGAGCTAAGCTACTACTAGTAGTACCAAAAGCCGTGATGCAATACGCATGGGCTACCTGCTACCTAGAAACAAAACTCCAATTATTTTGATGCGCTTTTAGTCATAAATCCAGAGGCAACAAATTAAGCAACTTTACAAAAAATTATGGAACGCTAAATTTTGATACATGGGTAAACCAAGATGAAACCATTGGAATTTTATCTCTAGACAGTTGATGTCCGGTAGATCACATCTAATGGCACACGAATTCGCGGAGTATCCACATTTTGAATACCACTAATAGTAGCATAGCTCAACCCCAATTTTTCTACTAGTAGAAATCAAATATGCATAAAAAAAAAAGACCCAAATTACCTTCTTGGCATCAAAGGACTTGGTATCACTCCACCTAGAGTCCACCCGTAACGGCAAATCCTGAGGCAAGCAAACATCATCAACCCTCTTCTTGCTCCCAACTCCACCATTGATTTTACTTCCTCCATCAACCTTCGAACTGTACGGCGACTCCTCGTTCACCTCAACTTCACTCCTCACAACAACCCCCTCTTCTCTCGCGACCTCGAAGCTGCTGCTACTAACCTCCTCCTCCTCCTCCTCCCCCTCCGCCACCAAATCAAGACTGTTACTCCCATTAGCGGAGCTTTTCTCGGCGACCTCGTCAGCTCCGGCGTTGA